TTGCCCTTTGAGAGGGCGCCATTTATTAAAAGATGGAAACAAAACACAAAATTCCCTGTATTTTCCCAGTTTGTAAAGAAAAACTCAAAATTCCCTGCAATTTTAGGTGATTTTTAAATTCTCTGTCATGGTGCGTAGCCAGATTTTTCAACAAAAAATAAGCACCTTTTAAGTACTTTTTAAGCAATCAAAAAATATTTTTAATCACTTTCCAAAAAAAGAAAATCATAATTAGAATAATGTGCAGCAATAAAAAATAATAAAATTCTACCGTTTAAAGTTCAATAAAAATCAATAAAATTCACAAACATTTTCATAAACTTCACATAATCATGATAAAATAACTAGTTACTGATAAATATTGCAGAGAAAATTGTGAAAATCGTGCATTTTTTTGAATTTATAGAATGACAATTGAGACGGAAAAGAAAAGATCTCTTTTTAAAAGATAGAAAATTAAGCACTTTTTACAAACTTCGAATAAAAAAAGCACCTTTAAAAAATGTAAATCAAAAATAAGCACCTTTAAGCACTTTCGCTATGCACCCTGTCTGTATTATTCAGGTTTTCCCTATGGAGAGGCAACCCTGATCTATCACTGAAAAGTGATAATCAATAAAGATAAAATCAAAGTCACATTTTTCTAACTTTAGCGTTTTAGTTTTTCAAAAATATACAGTAAGTTTACTTCAATCAGCAATATGTTATTGGGCGACATTGTCGCAGATTATTGCAGATGCCGCATTACAGAGTTATTGCAGAAAGATTTTTTTTTTTTGAAAATTAAAAAAAGAGGAAATATTTTTTTCCAACAGAAATTTGCACGTAATATTTGAATCATGCATTTGCATAATAAATTTTTGACGCGCTCAATTTACGCAGATGGTATCGTAAATCCAAGTAATGTTTAGATTGTATTTTCAGCAGTTATTGATATTGATTTTCATGTGGATTCGAATCATGCATTTGAGTATTTACTTTTTAACAAAATAATTCTATCGAATTTATGGCAGTTATTGCTAATGATTTCTCCATAACTTTAAAATCCGATATTTTTCATTACACAACATAATCTCAAAACGAACCATGCATTTGAGGGAAACCGATTAGCGTGATTTTGTCATTGATCTTTTTTTCTGCAATTACTACTACGGATTTCATGATTTAAATTTTTTTTTTTTTATTGTGATGATTATTTAGAAAATGCGAAGAAGGAAATAATTTGTGCATTCTCCCCTCCAATCTAACAAAATGCGAGAATATCATCCATATTAGAATAAAAAATTACTACATGTTTAAGTTTAAAAAAATTATATAGCTTTTTTTGTAAACACAGCGCTTTTGTTATTTTAAATTAGTAACATATATGTTTGTAATTATTCAGGGGTGATTGTGAGCTCAACTTAAAAATCCTGAAAATTTCTTAAGTAAAATCATTAATGACGAATTTCAAAAAAATGTATGTCTTTATAAATTTAAATCATTGATATTTTCACAACATGAAATTATAAAGAAATTATATGCAGCAAAATTTGAATGAATAATTATGTATAAGTTTACTTTTATCTCTAATCACATTTATTATTCTACCAGAAAAAATATTGTTGCAGATACCTCGAAAAAATTTTGCCACAGGGAGCTGGCAAGGGATTAACAGAGAAAGGAATGAAATAACTCATAAATAACTTGTTAAGATATGGATTAAACTTTATTTTACTCAGTTAAAAACTGAACCTGAAGAAAATATAACTTTTTCATACTTTTTTTTACATATTTTGAAATTTCCTAACTTTAAATAGTCAACATTTCATGAATTTTTCTATATCACATAAGAAGTTACATAATGAGCACAAAATAAATAAAAATAAGACACTAAATAACTTTTTATCTAATGATAAGGCTTTTCATTATCACTTCACTGCATGTGAATAACTTAAATCTATGATTTAATAATCATTTTTCTTTAATTTAATAAACATGAAAGATGTCTAAAACTATAACGGAGGTTCTTGAGATATAATTTGAAATGTTTAATTAAAAAAAATTTTATAATTGTCATCAATTAAAATATTTTGTAATTTTTGTCAAGTTTTTGCATAAATAAAATGAAATAAAGTGCTTAACTATGAAGTTCACGATGAAGAACTTGTCTAACAATACAGGATTATAATTTACAAATATTATAATATTTTACAAATGCATATGTATTATAATATTATACATATGTACAAATATTATAATTTATGAATTTTTTAGACATTAAATATATATATATATATATATTACACAGAGAGAGAGGAGAGATTTAACCAAAATTACAAATTTTGAAGGTAGAAAGTTAAATTATTCATAAAAGAAATCTATTTTAAAATTGCATCTAAAATACAACTCTTTGACTTATTTAATTTTATTTTTACTCATAAATTTTTTATAATTATTTCTCCCTTTGAAAATTACTACAAAATTTTACCACTAATTAATGATCCTATAAAAGCAGGATATAAAAATAAAAGATTATTCTTTTTTCTAAAAAATAGGGAAAAGTTTTCAAAGTTATTAAATTTTCATAAGATTATTATAATGGTAAATGTATATAATTAGATAATAATTTACTCATTTGACAATATAAAATTAATTCCTTGTTTCAATACCCACTTCAAATTCAATTGAAGATTATGTTAACTGCATAAAAAAATATTAGTTCATAATACAAGAAAAAATATATCTACTATCGAGTGATTCGAAAAACTAACATCCTACATAAATGTGCGCAGATGGTTAACTCAAATACAAGATATATGACAGCAACCTAATTATTTGCATATTTCTATTACTTGTTTTGCTTTAAAAAGTTTTTGAAAGTTGTTTTTTAAATTATTTTCTGATAGTATGTATAAAAAATTTGTACACAAGTCAAGTTTTCCTTAAAACTATTTTATTACTTTAAAAAAATTGTGTCTTTGTTGAAAAGTATGCTTTGTTTGAAATATATGAGAAATTAATGTATAATGAATAATAATTGTAATTTCACTTTAATTATCAAAATCAGGTACTCATTTTTCTTTTTTTTTTAATAAAAGAAAAGGAAGAGGAAAAAAAGCAAGAATGACAAGAAACCAACCAAGTTTAGTTTCACCAATTTAATTTGTTCAAAAATGTTTCAATCAATTTCTAAGTTTTTAAAATTCAGTTTCTCTTAATTTTAGAACAAGCTAAAAGAAAATTTGTAACTAAAATTCAAAATAATTTCTTTCATCATCAAAAAAAAAAAAAAAACTTTTGCTGTAATTTCCAAGGTAAAAGCTATTAATTAGAACGCTTAAGATCTAATTCCACCTGATAACTATGATATTTTCTCAATCTTTACTTATAAAAGCTTTTCAATCAAATGTTTTTAACTATAAATACCCACAAAAAAAATTACCTAACTAATTCCTCAATTCCAAGTCATAAGTTTTTAGTAATATTTTGTATGTTAATAACATTTATCATTAAACAAACTGAAAGAATCATACAAAAATTTTACATGAAAACTTTTTGTTTAATTTATAAAATTTGAAAAATCGTAACATATAGAGATGTTATGCAAAATGGCAAAAAAATATTAAAATCTAATATCATGCAAATTAAACAAAAAACATAAGTATTTGCTAAACACAAATAAACTAATGATTAAATAAATAAACAAATTAATATTTTTCTTTGAGAAAAAACTGCTTTCAAGTCAGAATTGAAAAATTTAAAGTATCTACTGAATGTGTAAGACATTTTGTCGTTAATAAAATTAAACAAAATTAGTATGAACTTAAGATGCCTTTTTATGGTTGTGCTTTAAAAAGGATTCTCAGTATAAATGAGTTAATATAGAGATGCATAAACTTAGTTCCTCAAATGGTCAAAGTGTAAACTTTCTGACCAATATTTAATCAGAAAAAATTATATAACTACAAAGAGAAATTTTTTAATTGTTTTTCAAACTTATTTTGATCAACTTAGAAAAAGTGTTAAGCATTGAAATCCCAAAACTCAAGTATCAAAAGATTTAAATCTTTCAAAAGCATCACTTTTTTTTAACAAAATATTTTTCCCAACAAAATGTAGTTTTACCATTTTTTTTCTTCAAAAATTAAAGAAAGTATTAATATGCAATAATAAATGAAATAGCAAAGTTAATTTATCCACAGAAAAAGATAGAAAATTAATAAAATTTGATTTTTAAAAATAAAAATAAAAAATAAAATGTACAAAACTTCAATATTTATTTTGTTCAAAACTAGAATACATTTACTTTGTAAACATTTGTTAATTTTCCCAATCATGAATATTGTATTTGCATATTTTAGAAGTATAAAACTCAGTTTAAAAAATTCCAAACAATTCCAACAAATTTTGTGAAAATGAGTCATGATGGCATAAACACTTACACCAAATATTAGAAACTTTTAGATAATTAAATTTCTTTTTAAAAATTAAAAACTGGCTGTCATGGACACAAAATATTGTGTTATGTCCATGACCCCGGTTAAGGACATAACCTTTAGTGAAAGTTATTCAAAACTGGAGTAAATATAGGGTATCTGCTACATTTCAGATTTTAAAATCCATGACTTTTCATGACTAATTCCAAGATTTTTCATGAATTAAAAAAGTTACTATTTTCTCCAACAAAAACGCAACAATAAATTTAAAAAAGCATTATAATAACATTAATTGAAGTGATAGGTATAACCAAAACTGCTATACTCTGCATCTTCAGATTTATAGATTTTAAATTTAAAAAACAGAGTAAAGAAAGAGTTGAAGCAATAAAATAGATGAAAAAATTACAAAAGCAAATATTTTTTTCTTTCTTTTCTGTTATACTCTGCATCTTTCTTAACATTTTATATTTTAATAAAATATGACTGTGAGTGGGGATTTTGTTACAAATTCAGATATTCAAGTAACCATGAAATGGAGGGGGGNGTAAGCGGATAACCTGTAAATAAAAATGACATGACTACCTATTGTAGCAAAATTTATTAAAACAGCTTGATTTTTTTAAAACTGAGTTGCAAGATTTTGAAGTCTGCTTTTATTACACTTTGTAAATAATTTCATCAGTTGATATAAAAACTGAATCCCCCCATTGAAAATGTTTATGCACCCGTCGACGAGAAAAAACTAAAATTCACATTAATATATCTAGTCAACAAAGGTAAAATTATCAGAACTTCTGCGCAACATAGAAACAAACTTAATTTAAACACAAGTTCTCTTAGAGCTATCTACAAAACAAAATATAACACCATATTAGTGTTACAGAACTATTTACACATAACAGCTTTTTTATAGATCACAACAGCTTATTTTGTAAGCATTACTGCATCAGCTACAGCACTGTCTACAAAAATACCCAGCAAGTATCACATAACAACAATTTTTTTTTTAAAACCCACTGCTCACTAGTACAGACAAGTGTCCACTTTTGTGCTAATAAATAATAAAATAAATAACTAATGAGGTCGCAGTTTCTTTTCAGTTTTTTCCAGCGTCTCTTCCTTCAAGAGGAGCTCAATGATGTCATCCATTTGCTTCTTGGTCACCTTCACATCTTCATTTTCAAGAAGCTCAATAACCTATTTAAAATATATTATATTAGTGCTATAAATCATAATCAGTGCTAAAAATACAGGTTGCATAGCCAAATCCTTCAACAAAAAATAAGCACCCTTTAAGTACTTTTTAAGCGCTCAAAAATATTTTTAAGTGCTAGATACATTAACAAAATGCAAAATTATTTTCAAAGACTTTACATGATCATGTAAAACAGCTAGTTTCTGACAAAGAACTCTTTTCTTGATTATATTAGCCATTAAAAAATTATCGAGAGATTTCTCGGTTCGATTTCAGAGGGTGGAAAATAGAGCTTAAAATTTAGAATATTTTACAAAATGCAGCAGTGTTGCTCCAGAGAGAGCAATAATCACACTGAATCCAGCTCACTATACGCACATGCGGACTCGCAAGTATTTCATCAAACCTGTAAAATGATTGCCACTTTCATACACTACAGGCCGATGCTATGCCGAAATGCATTGTGTTTGAATGAATTGTGAAAACGTTGAATAGAACAATGTGAAAAGCCTACTTTTACATAATAAATAGAGAAAATTGCCATGGTAATGAAGAGTAAAAATATCATTTTCGAAAAGGGAAAATTAAGCACTTTTTAAAAACACCCAATGAAAAAAAGCACCTTTAAGGGCTTTTAAAAAACGAAATTCGAAAATAAGCCCCTTTAAGCACTTTTTGTAAATGCTACGCACCATGTTAATTTTATAATTACTCTTATTGTATAAAAACAATAAATTACCTTCAACAAATCATCAATTTCAACAGATCCATCTCTGTCTACATCCAATTTTTCTAGAACCTCAGCAATCTGTTGAAGCTTAGACTCGTCGGATACTTTCCGGATCTTTCTTATGGCTGTAACCAGGTCATTGATGCTGACAATATCATCCCTAAAAACAATATCGCACAGTCAGGTAACAATCTTAAATAAATTAAACATGACACGTATTGGTGATTTGTGCATGTCGATATATCGACCGTTCAAATTATATGACTCAAAGAATATATGGTGCTGCACAAAGCGGAATTAACAAGCAATTTGCCAATCTCATAAACATAACTATGACATGTAGCTTGTCCAAAGTAAGAACATTATTAATTGAGTTTCTTTAACAGAGAATGACTGGATTTTCCAAAAAGTATAAACTATTAATACTGTGGGTAAGGCTCTATGCCTAATTTGTATATATAATTAGGCAGTCTCTTAATTAGAACTATCGAATTGTACTGAGAGTACATACTAAAATCTGGAATGTCGGGACAAAAAACCAAAAATCAGGACAAATAAAGAGAAAATATTTTTTATCTGGAAAGTTAGGAATATCAGAACTACAAAGCCTGTATAATTACAAGTTTTTATTTTATTTAGTATAGGTTGATCTTATGTTATTATAGCTCATATTATAAATATGTTATTATAGCACTTATTGTAATTATGTTGTTATGGCACATATGTAATTATGTTACTATAGAATATCTTAAATTTGATTATGTGATTTAATGGTTTTAACATACACCAAAAAAAAAAAAAAAATACAGTGTTGTACAAAAGGGAATACCCTGAATAACTTTTGGTCTAATTTTCATATGAAATATGTAATAACTATAATCTAAACTAAAATATGTTGCATAGAGCAGATGACATTTTAAGTTATGAAATCAGACACAAAAATGCATGTATTTTCTCTAAATAGGCATTTCTAAATTTTTTTACAAATTTGGATTCTTCACTCTCGGAATGGTAGTCACAATCAGAAAAATAAGATCCAAACTTTCGACCACTCTCCCGACCAAGGAACCCAATGATTTGGTAAGCAGAGTGGTCGAAAGTTTGGATCCTTTAATGTTAATTTGCGTTTTTGTGGATTTCATCAAATCTCAAAAACTTTCAAACAAAACAAAATACTTTTCTACACAATTATAAAATCTTTCTATCCAAAGATAATTCCATGCAGATAAATATTTAAAAAAAATTATTTATTACTTTATTGATCAAAATTCAAAAACAATTTGAACTGTAAGGTATTGTTTATTAATACCTCGACCCGCCCTATTCAGGGCACACGAGAGTAGAACAAACATTCTACAGACAAAACATACATAAAACACATAAAATTACAACAAGAATAAATGACTTATACAGAGAACAGAAAATGAATCTGAAAACAACGTCGAAATTTTTAAGGTAAGAATAAAAATTATGAAACTAAAAAGCATTCAAACACTTAAAAAAAAAAAAGGAAATTTAGAAAAGAAAAGAAAAATTCTAGACTATAATAGAGAATTATTATTATTATTATTATTATTATTATTTAAATAAAAAAAGAAAATTTTTTTTTTTTTACATATAATTTTTCGAATACGAAATTTATCAAAAGCCTAAAATTGAATCCAAAATAAGAAAGTCTATTAGTTTAAAAAAGGATGGAAAGAAATATTTTACTAAGATAGAGAAATTATAATAATTATCATTTATTTATTTTTCTTTTTTAATGAAGGAGTAAGAGCAAATAAGTTTATTTTTTTCTTTTGAAAAAGAAGGAAGTGTCAAAAGAAAAGAAAAAAAGAAAGACAGTAAAAAGAAAATTAAAGAAAAAGAAAGAGAAAAAGGAAATTAAATCTAAAATTATTATTATTAGTTATTTTTTCTTTCTTCAGTAGAAAATTTTGAAAAAGAATGCTTAAATACATAAATAAAGAGCAAGCGAACCTATGGAACGAATTGTTAAATTCGATGTTGAACCAAATTTTTAGATAGAAGTTTTTAGTGGAGACATTAAAATAGAATTAAACAAATGGTTTGACCTGGGAAAGGAAAGTGTTAAAAACTTTTTTCCATCATTTAAATTGGAATTTACAGAGTCAATTATGATCTGGGAAGATTGAATCTAAGTTCTTTTAGTCTAAGTAGATATGTTGGGCATAAAGCGTCGGATGCTTTGTGGTTGGTGTTGAAATTAGCCTCTGGGTGATCTTGATTGTAGTATAGGCAGTTGACACATTGTATTTGATTTGAATGACAATCGGAGGTTGGATGTTCTTCACCACAGTTTTCACAATAAGAGGAGTTGGCGCTACAGTTGTTTTGGTGATGACCAGGTTCTTGACAATTCCGGCATCTGATAAGGACTAATCTCTTTTTAATAAAGCATCTCGTGAAACCGACAAAGATGTAGTTGAGCTGTAATAGTCTGTTTGCCAGGAGATGTGAACATTTGAATGTGACATGGTGCTTGAGAGGATATCTTTTGTGTGGTATGGAGGTTTTGTTGACTTCCACTCTGTCCCTGTCGTTAACGAAATCACCGTTAGTTTTCACAAAATCGAGAATTTCATCGGGGGAGTAAGCAATTGGAACATTCAGCAGAATAAGAGATCTAAGTTTTGTTTGTTTATCGCTGAGATTGATACCAGAATTGAACTGTAAGGTATACAAATTTTTACCACATTTTAAAAAATGTAGCTTAAAGCATTAACACTAATTAAAACAGTTACTAAATTATGAAAAAGTTATATGCAAAAAAATATTTAATTTCATGAGACATCAATAGATTCGGCCATCGAACCATGAACCTAAGTAATAGTCCAAGTCTAGGCAAGTCTGATTGTTATACAGGGTATCTGCTACATTTTAGATTTTCAAATCCATGACTTTTCATGAATAATTCCAAGAATTTTAATGAATAATTCCAATAATTCCAAGAATAATTCCAAGAATTTTTCATGACTTAAAAAAGTCACTATTTTCTCCGACAAAAACGCAACAATAAATTTAAAAGACACTATAATAACATTATTTGAAATGATAGGTGTAACCAAAACTGTTATACTCTGCATCTTCATATTTATAGATTTTAAATTTAAAAAACAGAGTAAAGAAAAAGTTGAAGCAATAAAATAGCTGAAAAAAATACAAAAGCAAATAATTTTTTTCTTCTTTTTCTTTGCAGAATTATATTCTAAAGATACTTTTCTTGTTCATCCAAAAGGAAAGAAGTACTCCTGATTTTTCTGTTCCCATTTCGGAATTTAAAAAATTCGCCAATGACTGGCTTGCTTCAGCTAGAATTTTAAATTTATAAAATAAAAAATAATAAAAATTCTGAAATCACAGAAGTTTAAAAGATAACTCGTTTGAGAAATGATGTTTTTCCTTTCATTTTTTGAAACCCCATAATTTTTAAAGAACATGATAAAAACATTTTACATTTGAATAAAATATGAAAGTGAGTGGGGATTTTGTTACAAATTCAGATATTCGGAACACCATGAAATTTGGGAGGGGGGGATTCCATTTTTAAAATTTGATTTTTCGGTAACCTAAATCCATGATCTTCCATGATTTTTTTTAAAAAATAGTTAAAATCATGACATTTCATGACAAATTTTGTTCTAAACCGAAACTCATGACTTTTCAGGTGCGTAGATACCCTAATTAGATTAAAAGTTATTCAGGATGTTCACTTTTTTTGCACACTGTACATAGATTTGTATATTAAAAGATTTCTTGAAAGAAAAAAAGCTAGAGTGTGTGTTTACCTTTCTTTGAGAGGTGTTACACCTTCTTTTTCTTTGTCTTGAATCTGCTGTTCCAGGTTGACTTTTTCTTCAGTCAAATTATGAATCAAACCATCCATTTTGGATACCATTTTGTTTACTTTATTTGATAATCTTGAAGCTGCTTTTGATTCCCTTATTTCTTTGTGACCCGTTTCAAGAACAACGTCCTTCAATTCTTCAATATCCTATTTGAAAAGACAACAAGATGTAGGAATCATAAAATCTAATGCTCACACTGGACATACTAAGAGAGTCATCTTACCGGGATTACCCAAAATATAGACGCCTACATTGATTGTGTCGTTACTTGGATTATGGATTTTGAGTAAACGGGACCTAATTTTATTTACATCTTTGTTTCACATTTTCATATTAGAGTAGAACCTCTATTTAACGAAGTCGCCAAATCCCGATAATAAGTTCGTTAAATGGAAAATTCGTTAAATAGAAATCACCTTTTGAAATACTTAAACAATACAAAAGTTTCAAATTCATAAACACTAGACATAATTAAAATAGATAAATTGATACACATTTGTCTTATAAACTAGTATCTAATATTTACTTTATAAATCTTAACCATAAATGAAATCTGCATGGAAAGCAAGAATAGAGCAAAACATTATCCAGTGTTACACAGGGTGCGTAGCCAAATTATTCAACAAAAAATAAGCACTTTTCAAGCACTCGAAAAATATTTTTAAGCACTTTAAAAAAATATCATAATTAGGCAGTGTTGGAAAGTTTTTGACAATCGACTGTTTTATCTTGTTTTAACAGTGATGTCAAAAAACAACAACAACCTTTTAGCATTGTTTTTGACAATTGTCAAAAATCATGAAATTTTGAATCATGTAAATCGAATGGCGTTTTCATGCGCTACGGACTGACTATACGCCAAAATAGATTTTGGTTGAATTAATTATGAAAACGTTGAATAGAACAATGTGAACTGTGTCTTTTTGCATAATTCGAAGCGAAAATCAACATAGTCAAGGAAAAATCTCATTTTGAAAAAGGGAAAATTAAGCACTTTTTATAAGCACCCAATGAAAAAAGCACCTTTAAGGGCTTTTAAAAAACGAAAATTGAAAATAAATATCTTTAATCACTTTTCAAAAACGCTACGCACCCTGGTTATACTATCACGCTACATACATTTTCAACTAAAAAAAGCTAAACTTATGCATAAAATTATAGCAGCATGTATTATAAAAGTGATTTTAAACATACATTACCACGTGCGTTCTTAAGTTAAATTACTATTGATAAAATCTGTTAATTTTGTGTGAGTTTTTCGTTTGTAATGCAAATGAAAAGGGATTTTAATGCTTTCTCTAAAAGCTAAGTGGCTTAAAAAATCAATTCAAGGTCATTTCCTTCATAAAATGCATTAACAACTTTAAAATGTTCTGAAATATTTTGGGAAATATGGAAAGTGGATCTCAAAGAAAAGTTCTATTAATAAAATAATTCTATTAATAAAAATAATAATTCAATTAATAAAAAAAAACTTAAGTAATGAAAGATATTTTGAAAGGATAGGAAATAAATATGTAATGCCAATTGTGGCATCACAGTTACTCATCCTGCTAATAAGAATTGAAGGTCGTGAATTTGAACCTGGCGTTTATAAGCAGCAAGGTGCACATTGAAGGATACAGGAAAACAAACAGGAACAGGAAAACAAATAACTGACCCTGACTCTCAAGCCATAACAAATCACAGATGATTGAAAAAATAATAGAACATTTATTTATTTATTTTTAATTTTTTTATGATGATATAGGAAATGCTGAAGTAAATGCAAAAGGGGAAGAAAAAAGAACGAAATTGAATCGAAGGAAAGAAGATGGAAAATATAAAAGAAAAAGAAAACATACTTTCTAGAGAAAATAAATTATTAATTTCAAAGATGAATGAATTTAGTGTATGTGACTGAAGCAAATGTTCTGATAAAAATATATTCATAGTTCCATATGTAATACTAGGGGGCTAAGCCACCTGTTCGCCACCGCTCACCCAACCCCGATGATTGCTTCACAGTAATTGTTTTTTCTTGGCAGAAAACAGTTTTTCTACTAAAATTAAAATTATTCACTTAACATATATGTACTAAAAAGAATTCTGTTTGCTTACGCTTCCGCCTCTACTTCCCAATATTACTATCTATTAGTATTATAAACATTCAGATCTCTTGGTAAACAGAAGTGATTTTTCGAAGTAATCATTTTTTAAAATAACATTTATATTCTTATAACATTATATTGTTCAAACAAATTTGATGAGTTCACAACCATAATTCGCGATCGCAACGCTCGAGTACGCCGTCTAGCGGGAACCTGTAAATATCGGACATTAATTTATTACGTTTTCATTTAGTTCCATCAAAGTCATTGACTGAATCAGACGCCATTTTTTAGCAGCAAATAAGAAACAAAATTTCCCTAAGGAAAAGGCCGAAGAACTTGAAAAAAATCTCCAGAATATTAGTAAATCTTTCAGGAACAGAACACGCCAAACATTTGAAGAAAAATTCCTCAATAATTTTTAATTTCTATTATCAACAAACTTGCAACTGATGACTTCCGATTTCGGATACTGTTACAGATGTGTGTATTAAGGTAAAATGCATTTCTTCTGTCTTCAATTCATTACGAATTAAAGTGAAGTCAACATTGCTTTCGTCATTCCAGTGAATAAATATGAATTCAGAACATACAGAANTGCAATGTCAATAAAAATGCATCATCAAAATTCATATGGAATTTTTTTCACAGCATATAAGCTGATTTCTCAAAAATTGCTTACAATGTTGATTGATTATTGATTGGAATATTGCTAAAAGGTACAAATCAAAATCGAAAAAGATTTTTTTTTCTCTGTACACATAGCCAATTTCTCAAAACTTACTTCAATATTTTTTTGGAATATCAATAAGAATAAGACATTAAACTATATAAAGATTGATTTAACCGCAATTTCTTAGAAATTGATCTAATCAGGGCTCTAAAAACCGCCCGTCCGCCCATTCTCGGCGATCAAAAATTCCCCGCGGAAAACGAATTTCTCGAATCCGACGTCCGCGCTGACGGCCATTTTCCCGTTAATGTTCGTGATACTTTTTCAATTTTTGTTATTAGAATTGATGTTTTCTCTGTCTGGGAGTACTGCAGTGGTTGAAGGGGCTTTTAAGCAATGAACTTACAAAAAAACACATTGTGCAATGGTCTTAAACAAGAAGCGTTAAACGCAATTATGAACAAAAACATAAATGGAAAACCCCTTTCAGATTTCTGTGCAGAAACCTCTGTAAATCATTGGCTCGATTGTGGAACTGGCAAACGTCATATTTGATTCATTTAAGAAACGCAGTACCCTCGGATAAATTGACTTTCCAGATAACTTGACCTTTGTCATTTAAATTATTTCATAAAAGAAATAAGCTATTTCATAAAAGAAATACTAGGTTACTATTAGTAACCTAGTATTTCCTTTATTACTGTATAATATAATCCTAGTACTTGCAATCCTAGTAACTACTAATTCATTGTGCAATTTATATAAATGTTTTCAATAAATAAGAGAAAATTATATTTTTATTTATTTCGAAGCTACGGGTTAGTTTCAAAGGAGGAGGGTACATTGTTGAACAAGCCGTCATCGGGGACGGGTAAAATTTCTGAGTTTCTTCGAGCCTTGGTTCCAATAAAATTGTATCGATTAAAAAGTTTTTGAACACGAAGAATTCAAAAAATCGCAATTAAAAAAGAACGAACGTAAAGGCAATTTTCCATAAAAATCATTTGTCATCTTTTAATAAACTTTAGTATTTTAAATTTTTAATCAAATTTAAATTAATTTAGGCTTTGTTCATTAATCTTGAAATTAAAATAATGATGTGTAATATAATCTTGACAAAATTTGCAGGTAAGCGTCTCATACAACAACGCCCCCTATAGTTCGTTGCGATCGCGAATTTAAAATTTTTGCTAATAATAGCAGTACTGGAAAATAACTTTAAATTTTATGCTGATGACAACCAAAACAATATTGAAATGAATGAGGAAAAACTGGATCCACTCAGTTTTAGATGGTTAGTTTAGTTGTAACATTTTAGCAAGCAGCATTATTAAAAATTATTACCTTTTCACACACATGCGTTGTCAATTTTAATTGGCTGTTTTGTGCGTTACTTACTTGCAAGTGTTCTGTGATTGGCTATGTGTTATCATTTCACTCTCTTCTTATATTATATAAAGATATATATTCATAGTTTCAGGCATTCCATACGAATTATTTTTGGTATTTTCCATAAACTCGGCAGGGAGATTTGTTTTGCAAAACCTCGTTCAATTCATTTAATAAACACTAACAATTATAAAGCATGTTAACCAATTTCAGTCTTATCATGCTTCAGTTTTTCTAAACATTTTACAATAAACATTTGTGATTGTTCCATTTCAATTCCCATTATTCAATTTAATAAATAGTGGACTTAAAAAGCTAAAGACCTGTTTAAATTGTAATTTTTTTAAACCTTTCAATGAGCAGAATTTTGAACTATGATCCTTAAAAAGTACAATTCAAACTTTTTAATGTTCAAATGGATTACCTGTTTGTATTCAGCCATTTCTTCTTTCAAATCTTCAATTTCTTCTTTCTCAATCAGAAGTTTATTTTTTTCAGATGCAATGTTTTCCAAAGCATTTTCGATTTCTTCAAAATCTTCTCTTGAAAGCTCTTCTTCCTTTTTAATTTCGTCAGATTTTGCAGCAATGGCTAGATGGAACAATTAACTTTTAATAAAACCATTTTAAAATTTTATTTTCAAATAACTGAATTTAACCACAATAATCAAAAATATATGTTAATTTTTTAACTTCCCAATACCTGTCTTAATGTGCAATTTATGTGGCCGGATATGTAGCATCAATGAAAAAAAATTTATGTGGCCGGATATGTAGTATCAATGAAAAAAAAGAAGAAAAAATTTAAGCTTATTGTTTTTACTTTCTTAGGCATTTAAATAACTAATTCTTTTAAATGTTAAGGATTATTACAAAAAAGTTTTTTTTTAAAAAAGCGTTTTAAAACAAATTCAAGTTAACAGACACATTTGTGTTGTTAAATAAGTGAAACACCTTTGTCAGAAGTAAATTAGCATACTATACGAAAATATTTGTTACTGATTTCATCGTAAAAACTATTAATTTTTAGCAAATCAGCTCTTAACCTGTTTCCTATTTTTATTAAATACTTTGCAAGTTCAATTATAATAAAAATAGTTCAATTTTGAATTCACTTTCAACTATTGGTGACATTTAGGCTTTGCAAACAATTTTTAAAGAAAAAAATCATACTATTCAGGGCTTAAGAACTTTAACATAAACAATATAAGATAAACAATTCCAAAATAGGTATAGTTTAGTATAACATTCCAAAATAGGTGGATAATTGTTAATGATTCCTTAACTACAGTAAAAGTTCATTATAAAAACAATTCACAATGTTTTTATAATGGATGGAATAGATGGAATTGTTGTAAGAGAATTGATTTGAATGTAAACAAGAATATGTAAACAAGAATATGTAGAATAATTATGTAAACAAGAATAGCGCATTTCAGGGAGGGTAGCTTCTCTTCACTCTATAGCTAACACAATAGACCTAAGAAAAAGATTCTCTTTCTCTTGCCGACCAAAATCTGTCCTAAGCAGTGACCCCACACCCTTACTTGAAATAGTTATATCCTGTTACCATAGTCACCGCCATGGGTCCAGACGAATGGCTAGGGGAGTTCTTACTTTAGACAAACTATAGATATGTGATTAACAAAAGACATATACTTTGAAAGTGTGTGGAAGAATTTTTTCTAAAAATAGCAATAGATTTTCTTTCTAAAGAGAAAATTATGCTGGTGCTCTCCCACACATTGTTTGCTTTATAAAGATAAAAGGTTAAAATTTAAGATGAAAAGAAGTGAAATGAAATGATGTTCATTTTTCCTTTTCCCCCCATATTTTTACAATAAATCAATAAAAATGCTTTTTTTGTATTACTTTGCTCACTTAATCAGCAAAAAAATATATTTATCTCAAAAACATTTTAGCAATAGCAGAAAGTTAGTAGTTTTTTTAAAAAAAAAAGGAACAGCTGAACACACTTAATAATTATACAGTAAATGAAATAGTTAATAGGGTTCCCACTCTTTTAACAAAGCAAACATTAAGCACTTTTAAGGACTTTTTTTTGGAAAAAATTAAGGACTTTAAAAATAGTACGATTGTTTATCATCGAATGTGTATATACCACCAGTGACAGTGCCAATTATTTGCCATTCCTAAAAAAAAAAAAAAACAATTTTACTAAAATGTAAACACTGATATAAATGTATTAATTAACAGGTCTCGCCAAAGAAGTAAAAGGCAATTTTTGCAAAACCGGATCTGTTTTCTCTTTAAAAAAAAACACATTTTCAGATTGTTAAAGGTTAACGTCATCTATGAAACTAATCCGTATTCCATTTTTAATAGTTTCATTGAAATTGAGATGTAAAATTAAGTCCAGAAATTAAAACTTGCTATAAATCACATATATTAAAAAAAAGAGTAAATAAAGAAATATGGCAAAAACATTGAAAAAGTTATTACAAGTTTAAATATTTCCCTACTCGACTTGCATCGCACATTCAGTTGTGGGCCAATCTCGCTAAATATTCAGTTCCGCCAAAAAAATTCTTTTCTATCAATAAAATTTCTTCATTTATTAGGGCATTTATTAACAGAATAATACAAAAAAGTTGAGTTACAGTTATGCATAAGAATAGTTTTCTTCACTGTGTCATGTTAAATTAAGTCCTATTTCAAGTAAAAACAGGCCATACTAATATCTAAGTACCTTAAATCATTCCACTTTTTTTTTCATTAGGCATAATTTTTTTAAAAATTTATTGCAATAAATATTTTTATGAAACTTTTTATGGAATAAAAATACAATTATGTTTGAAAAGATTTATAATTTTCTAACCAATATGTTTTTTTTATTAGTTCTCGGGGTGAAACATACAAACAAAAGAGTCTAAAACGATTTTTCAAAGGTATCAACACATTCCTATGGCCAGAAAATTGATAAGGCAGGGGTCTGTCTAGGTTTTTCTGAAAGGTACCTATTTTGTGAAAATTTAGACATAATTTGTGAAAAATTAAAAACTATATTAAAATATCAACACAAAACCATGGTAAAAATATAAATTTAATGTTTCTTAACGGATACAAAAACAAAATTTTAAGGAAAAGTATTTTGTGAAGCTACCGTTTTTCCTGAAGTTGAATTTGTGAAGGTACCGCTAAACGGTAGCAAATTCGGCCTGGACAGACCCCTGTGAGGTTACTTAATTAACAAGTACTGTTAAGTTATTTACTGTTTAATCATTTACAGACATTTACTAGTAATATTTCTTTACCATCCTCTATAATTCTTAATATTATTCTCCAGTATTATTATGATTTGATATTTTATTTCTATCGCAACCTAACCGAAACTGGTATTTTTTATTATAAAATACAGGGATGAGATTAGCCAAAAGGCAAAAAAGCTGAATTTCCACGATAGTAAATTTTACGCAAGCGCAGCCCTTTAATAATAAATTCCAGACAGTTTAAGGTAATAAATAATGTGTTGACATACAATTGCGTACTAATCTATTATTATAAAAACGACTACATTGATACTTAACATTTAGTGAAAATAAAAATTACCAATTGAAAAAATAAAGCTGGAAATTATATTTTTCCTCAGTTCACATAAGAGACAATTATTACTTGAAAAACTACCTGGTTTAGCAAATTAAAACTACTGAGAATATACATTAATATTTCATTTCTTTTAATAAATACTGTTATGTGATTTATAGCAAATATATCAGTAATATTACTTTTTAAATTATATTGGAAAAAAAAACTTTAACAATGGACCGAATCATTATGTTCATATTATAGTCTAATCTAACTACAGCCCTCTGAAACATATCAATAACAGTGAAGTAGAAATATATAGTAACTCCTTAACATACAAAAATTGCTATTTTAGTTTGAAAAATTACATGACAATCAGCAACTGTTTAGATAATTGTTTTTTATTTGATAAGAATTTTGCATTTTATAGCATAAATAACAGCAATTATAAATAAAATTTTGATGATGAGTTAATTAACTCTTTTTCCAAAAAAAAAAAAATTAAATTAAATCCCTTTTTAAGTGATTGCTTTTGTTTGCTATATCTTTTATGTTTGCTATATTTAGTCGTTAGTCCATCTTCAAACATCTTGTGACAAATCCTATTTTTTCTTCTTTGCAAGCACAGAATGTAAGTTTTGAATATATTCCCTTCCAGTTTCTCTGATGTTGTAACACTTACATATACATACTAATAATCGTCGTTAGAAAAACAGTCACTTTTATAGTAACTAATTTTTAAAAAAAATTTACTTCTTACAAGAATCGCGATAGTTGATCTTAAAATTGCGTGAATATGAATAACAATTATGGATTTTGAAATCACATGAATATGAAACTAGATATACGATTTTGAAAATGAGAAAATACAAACTGGGATATAGAATTTTTAAAACGCGTAAATACAAATCACGATTCATAATTTTTAGATCGCGTAAATACGAATCATGATGCGTAATTTTTAGATTGCATAAATAAGAATTATGATGCATAATTTTTAGAATGCGTGAATGCGAATCCCAATGCCTTATTTTAAAATCACGTATAAATACGAAAATCAATGTTTGATATTATAAACCGCATGAGCAAATCAAGACATTGAATTTTAAACTTGCGTGAATACGAATCGCTACATAGGTTTTTAAAAAGGCGTAAATACGAATCACAATATCGGATTTTTAAATCTCGTAAATAAGAATCGCAACGTACAATATTCAAATCGCGTGAATAAGAATCGCAACACGCAAATATGAAAAGCTATGTTTGATATTAAAATCGTGTGAATAAGAATCGAGATATTAGCAGATTCCAGGCTTGGGACCTCTAAAAGGCTTGTCAGAAGCAGCGTCGTTTGAACTACAAAAATCGGATCTATCTGGAGGGCGGGTAAAAAATTCGGAAAATCTTATCTGCTGCGTGTAAAAGGGGAGAAAATAGCTAAAATAAGTAAAAATGAGAAAGGATTGGTAGCTATGTAGTTTGAATTTTCTGTTTCTCTTTGAAAATCGGTGAATTTTCTGAAAAAGCGGAATACTTATAAAAAAAGTGAAATTTTTAGAAAATCTGAATTTTTGATAAAAAAGCTGAAATTCAAGAGATAAAAGTGAAAAAAGCGGAAATCAGCTAAAAAGCGGAAAAATCTCATCCCTGAAAATAATCATGTAATATCACCTTATCAGGTAACGTTTTGTAAAAAAATATTGAAAAATTTTATGAAAAACATATTGAAATCAGAATGTAAATTAACAATTTTGAAATTATTACTAAACAGCAAATGTGTTATATTTATTTTTATGATGTACTTAACACAAAATTATTTTCAGCCAAACCTGTTTTTAGGAATTAACTTTACATGATGTTACTAAACAATCTGGCAAAAAACATTAATTAATTTTAAAACAGCCAAAACTTGAATAAAAATTTAAAAAACAGTTTATTAAGTTGCAATGTTAACTGAATAAGATGATTATTAAAATCTAAGGATCTCTTAATTGAGTAGATTTAAATTTTTATGTAACAATCTAGTTATCTTTAAGAAACAAAAATAATAGCGTAACAATCTAAAACTTTAAAAAAAATTTACATTGCAACAAAACAAATTATAAATAGTTACCAAATATTTAACTTTCTTGTTAGAAGCAAATCATACATTCTTGTTTAGTACTCAGAGGAAAAAAATTAAAGTATTTCTGAAAAAACTTGAGGTTTTCATCAAAAAACCAATAAACCCCAGGTTTTTGATGAAAAACCAAGGTGGGCAGGGATTTTTCAAGCTCTGTTTATTACAGATCAGTTCAATTTTTAGTACAATCATGAATTTTATAAGATATTACTGCTTTCTATAAATTTACAGTTACTTATTACACATTGAAATATTATACAAATTTATTTATTTCTTCAAGATTTTAGGAAATAGTTTTCATTACGGATTCAAGTTCAAAAATTTTTCTGATACTTCTTTTCTTAGGGTTTTACTTAATTTTCTATAAGCAGTAGAACTGAATTTCTTAAATTCTGTCAATTATGAAAATTAGTGTGGGTCTTCTACCCAGGTACCTTAAAACTGCCCTCCCCCCCAAAAAAGCACCATCTCTTCCATGTGCAGTATCCCCCTTGTCCACACTATTCTTTTCTTTCAGAATGCTTCACTCTCCTCATCATATAGTATCATTCAAGGCAAAAGGCAGAATATATTAATGAAAGAACCAATATAATAATGAAAGGACATGGTAATCTTATTCCTCTTGCCAATACACATTCCTTTTTGTCTCTCTAAAATGCTCTACTCTCTATGCATGGTCTAATTCTAAATGATAAAAGAACGGCATTTTGTTTTAAAAAATTGAATTGAAAAATTGTTCATATCAACTATAGTGATGATGACAAATTAAGGACTTTTAAAAACCTTGTACCAAAATTAAGTACTTTTAAGGGCCCTTATTTACCAAAATAAAAATTAAAGGCAGATTTAAAGGACTGTGGGAATCCTGGCTAATTATAGCTGAAATATCATCCTTAAATATTCCATAAATTATGCATTGAGTGGCCATACTTTTTAAAAAAATGAAAATGAAAAACAAAATTCCCCAGTTTGTAAAGAAAAAAAAATCAAAATTTGCAGCATTTTCCCTGTTATTTTAGGTGATTTCAAAATTCCCAGCATTTTACAGGTTTTTCCTATTCTTCCTGAGGAGTGGCAACCCTATTATTTCTGCACATGTGAGATTTAATTGATATTTAGTTCTTCCTCCTGAAGCTTCCACCCAACAAAACAGTCATGCACTATGCAAATTAAAGTGCAAATTAAATGCAAATTAAAGCACAACACAGAACAGAAAACACTCTTCAACAGATATCACATTAAGTCGAATGGCATAATTGAAAAAAAAAATTGTGAGCGAAAGTGAAGAAATGTATAAAATCTTATCCTAGAACATTTAAAAAATTATTATTATCATTATCACATGCTAATGAAAGATGATGTTTTTGAGATTTTACGATTCTTATATAAACTCTCAAGAATTCTTTCAGGAGCTATTTTTATCAATCCACTCTTTTATCAGAATTTTTGGAATGGAAAATAATAATCTATAGGTAAAAACTTTTTTGGCACAAAAGCCTTAGAGTAGTCTAGGAAAAATAATTCATAAAATTGCCGTTACTTTTTCCAGATAGAACATCCAATACAGGAGCTTTGTCTATCAACATATCTTTGTCAGCAGTCTCCAAGTCAGTTTTTTGTTGCAACTAAAAGTAAAAGCCATAGTTAAAAACCACTAAAACAATATGTAGCCACTTTTAATTGATATATATAAATAATGTTTAGAAAAAAAAGCATGCAAGTAAATGTAGAATATAAAAAAATATGCAACTATTTGATTATGTCTACATTAACGCTTTACTAACGGGATTCATTTGTCCCAACGAATGTTTAAAAAATTACTAATTGACATATGTATCCCACCATTAAGTACGGCCAGAACTTATATGTCCCAGCCTCTAAATTGATAATCGCTTGTCAGAAAAATCCCAAATACTAAATTTGCTTTATTTGTGACCTATTTTGTCCTTTTGAATAACAATCATTTTTTAAAATTTTGTAGTCAAAGGGTTAAAAATAATCATTGGGAAACTTTTTATTTATTAAATAATTATTGTTTATCATTAAGAATTACGATTTTACAACAGTATTGGCATTTTTATTTTATTATTTATAATTTAAACTCATTTCGTTAGAATAAGAAAAACAAAGCTTTTGAGTGCAAGTGCATGTGATTGATTGAGATTAAAACCTTAAAAAAACTATACCAAAATTTCTCAGTCAACTTAACATAAACTGCATCAACAAGGCATTTTCGTCTAAATTCCTAAAAAATACTTTAAATTTTAGCTGCAATTGTAACATACTAATATACTCTTAACTTGAACATTGTACCCAAGGAATTGAATTTTTGTTACACTCAATTTGAAGTGTGCTTAAAATGCTGTAAGGTGAGTGTTACAGCTTCGCAGCCTGGATTTATAGATCCAATAAGATAAACAAATAGGATGTGAATTTTAATAGCCATCCTTTAATTTTAATTGCCACTTTAATTGCCCTATGCAAAAAAGTGTTAAACCAAAAAATAAATAGATAAATTCTGATTTTAAATTATTATAATCTATGGGCAGAAAGGTACTTTAATCATGTCTCACTAGAGCTGCACAATTGGCTTTTGGCGATAGTCTGGGAAACATCTCCGAGGATGAACCAAAGACATACCATCGCAATTTTTATCCTCTGCAGAGGGGATAGCTTCTCTGCTTTGGTAGCCCCAAAACACGAGAAGTCCAATAGAACAGTTTAACAATAGTTTAACAGTTAACTTAACAATAGAACAGTTTAACGAGGAACGATACTGTGCACCCTTAGTCCCTACGCAGGCTGATCAAATAGGTCACCCACCTGCTTACTGCCTGCAGGCAGCAATGCTTATCATCTATGATGTGTGATTATCATCTATGAGAATCTACATTTTTAAACATTTTAGAAAGGTATAACAAACTCTTAGTTAGGTATCAAATAAAAAACTCGTACATTTCTTTTACAATATGAAATAGATTTAAATAAAAGGAGTAACATTAAGAATGATGACTTAACAATAGTATATACAGAATGAGACCAAACAAACCTTTTGTTTATCCAACTCTTGCTGTTTGATTTCTTCTGCTTCCTTCCTGATTTCAGCCTCTTCTTTCTTAATAAGCTCCAATTTTGTTTTATTATCAACTTTACCTTCCATTTCTCCAATTTTGAATTTCGTTTCAGTAGTCTAGAGTCAAAGGGGGAAAAAAATAAAGTTTGAGTATCAATTTGATATTTAGCGGCATCACTTTTTTCAAATCTCAAATAAAATATACACATAGGGGAGAGTGGGGCAAAACCTTTACCCCATTTATCACAGTTACCTCGATTGTGTGGAAATTAGTTCCGTTTTCTAGCAGAGAAACACAGAATAACACTTTTAGAATAACACAATATTAAATAATTATAAATAAAAATGTGTCAAATTGCAATTTATCCAATCCCTTAATTTGTTTAATTTTGAAGAAAAAAAATACAAAAACTATAATCTTTAAAAAAAACAAAAACCTTAACAATCATCTTATTCTTTTCATGTAAAATAAGTTTTTATATAACTTCCATTTTAACTCTTCTTTTCCCCCAAAGCAAACGATTTAAAAAATAAAAAGTTTTGAAGCCTTCTGTATTTTTGTATGAATTAGACCGAAATTTGAAACTGTTTTTTCGATTAATGGCTCAGCTGTATAGACATGAATGTTGACATACTAAAACTACTATCATAATAAAATATTTATTTAGGACATTTATTCTAATAACTATACTTAATATGTACTAAATGTTAATAATAACTTAATTAAACCCTTGAATGTTTAATTTAAAAAAAATATTAACTCATTTAAATAAACTCTTATATTTTTTGTAAATTTTGTAAGTTTACTTATTGAGGAATATACCATAGTTGATTTTTTGGAAATATATTTATGTACATATAAGTGAGAGTACAGGAAATTCTGAGTCCCTAACATGTGCTCAGAACAAAGTTTTTTTTTTTTTTTTATCGAAATTTCCCTAAAAATTGTAACGTTTTTCTTTCAGTACTATAACCTTTTAAAAATATTTTTGGAAAGTAAAGTTCGCATAAGAAAAGAAATTTATTTGCTTTTACATGATTCTCGAATAAACGAGTATACATTAAAAATCAAAATATACTAAAATAGTAATAATTTATTGAATTAACCCCTTAACTGCCGCGGGCGTATATATACGTGTCGGCCAGACGATGCGTTAATATACGCTTCCCGTACGAGCGTATATATACGCTTTCCCGTAGTACGATGCTTTGCATTGCGCTGCTATAAATAGAACTACACCCCCTTCTTCAGAATGCAGTAAAATTGCCTTGAATGTGTTTGCTTTGCGAATGTATTGCTATTTTCGGAGGAGGGGGAATGGGAAAAGGATGTTATGGAAAAGTGATATTGTATTAATCGCTTGTGTGTATTTATTTCAGTAAGATCGGGTTTATTCTTTTTTCTCTTTTGTTTCCCGTATGTATTTGGTGCTTTTTATTCTTTTCATCAACGTCTTCAAAGAAAAATGCATCGCGAAAATGTGCTGTTTGTTCATGAAAAAATATTCGTCGCGAATCCCGCTATCAGTGCGATGAATGTGATGTTGGTTTATGTGTCCAACCATGTTTCAGGATTTATCATACAACAGCTAAGTTTTGACATCTTTTATATTGTATTTTTATTATTTAATTTAAATTTTGTATTTTCTTTCTTTCCTTTTTCTTGTAAAATTAAACTGTTTTTAAATTGCAGAGCGTGCATCATTTTTCCCACTCTAAACACCGTGCAAGAAAGTGCACTTGAGCGAAAAACGGTGGCACTGGGGAGTGAATCACGTTAATTTCACTCGGCAGTTAAGGGGTTAAAGGTCCCACTCATTAACTTAAGGCAGTGTTTCCCAAAGTGTGGTAGCGTACCCCCAGGGGTACGGGAACAGTTTAGCGGGGGTACGCGTTCTTATGCGAAATATCTTGCAACAAACAAAAATTTCAAAATTTCTTTAATTAAAAACTAAGCTAGCCATAAAAATTTACGATTATGTATTTTTCTATTGGCTATTTTTTGCTGATTTAACAATTAATAATTAGTGGTGTCAATAGCCAGTTGTGATTTTTAACTTTTGCGCAATTTTTTATAGTAAAAAATGCATTCAGTTTTGTATTAGTGGTACACAGGGTTACGAAGAATTTAGAAAGGGTACACAAAAGTCATAAGTTAGGGAAACACTGGTCTAGAGAAACAGAGATGAGTTGAAACGCGATTATTGAAAACTTCTCCAAGTTTCACTCGGCAATCAATCTGGTTTCGATGCTGTTGGGTTTTTTTTTAACATTCACTAGTGATTCGATGGCATTTCTGCTTTGTCTCATAAACATTAATTTTTGACTCCCAAAGTATGTGCGTTTTGGACTTCTTTTTTTTACAAGAAGTCTGAAAAAAAGTAATAGACGGTGATTACCTGCTATCCCCTATAGAATAATTTCCGGTGATTTGTATTTAAAATTATTACTTCACTGTGAGGATAAGAGCACAACTTACAGGATAATTAATTCAAAAAATAGTAAACCTTTTTTCATGTTCAATTTTAAACATAAAAGTGTTTAAACTGTTTATATGTCACCCATCTATTTTTTTGGATCTACAAATTCATTTTCTACAATTGTTTTATTTTTAAATTTCATTATTTTCTTGTGTTTACAACTTAATCTTAATTTCATTATCTGCTTGTTTTACAAATTCTAATTTTCCTTATCTTTTGTGTTTCTGCAAATTAATTTGCATTTCATTACCTACTTATTTTTAGTTATTTCGCATTTCATTTACTACTTGTTTCTACAAGTTACATACAACATTTCCTCATCAACTTGTTTCCATAAATTAGACTGCAATGTTGTTTACAAGTTGAACAATATTCGTATTTGAAAGCTATTTTAACCTTTTTTTTATTTGAAACTTTTATTGATTTAGGTGGGTTAAATGGGGGAAACACTTACAAGCATGGAATGAGGAGACATGTAAATGTTGAAGTAAAAACAATGTCAAATTACGTGAATAAGACCATAAATAACTTATCTAATATTAATTTAATAAATTTTGTTTTCAGTTAGAAATGTCATTTAGTTCATGCAAACTATTTCAGATTTACATTGAATATCATAGATCAAAATCTTTTAATAATTGAATTAAAAATTGAATCAATCAAGTATATTAAGTTATTAAAACTTACTTTTTTGTATCCACTAAACTGAAATTGATGAAAAACAAAATATTTTTATTATTTTTTTAAACTAGTTTCCACTTTAATTAGATGTGTATTTAATAGTATACATATCTTATTTCCTTCACAATTTTCATTCTTCATAATTTCCATATCTTGCTCTATCAATTAAATTTTAGTATTATTTTCATTAGTTCAGCTAAATTTTGAATTTCTATCTAAAAAGTAAGAAATGAATATTCTAAGCAAAGCTTCAAGTTGCTTACTATTCGCTGTTGTGTAAAAAATTATCTTTTGATTTTGTGATTAAAAGCCATCATGCATGTTAATTCAAACTTGTTGATTCTTTAAGAGGGCCTCCAAGTGGCTTTATACCCAGGCCTACCACCCTGGATATTAGAATATTTAAGAGAAAATCACCTATAAATTTTAATAATTTTTTTAAAAAAATAAGACTGTTTTGGCGGAAATATTTTGATTTTTATCATAGAATAATTTCGGCATACATTTAATTAAAATATATATTTAAAATATAGGTTTAGATCTTTATAAATACCCACCTTGCCGATTTTTTTAAAAATATCCCGAGAAGTTTTATTTCGTTTCGCAATAGTTAAACAATCGTTTTCCTTTCAGTTAACTACTTATATTAACTTAGAATAAAGTTTCTGTGACAGGTCATTAAGTTTGGCAATTATTCTGCCACAGATTAACGATACAAAAATCTTCCCATAATTAAAAACAATCTTAAAGATAGTCTGTTATCGAAATTCAAACAATTTTATAAGCCTGTATAAACCAAATCATTTTTGACAGACAATTTTTAAGTAGTTCAACGATACATACAAAGTTATAAAGAAAATATTTTATTGTTTAGAAATTTCTTCCTATCGAGTATTATGATCTTAATTTTTCAAACCTCTAATATTAACATTGTGGAAAAATATAAAATTCATATTAAAATAGAAAATTATAAAAATACAGAAACATGAAAATTCTAAAAATATAGAAATAAAAACAGCTACTTTTTTTTAATATTATTATTCTCTCTGAGATTTAATCGCCAATTGCAGAATGATACTGTTAGCGATTTCAGGATATTCTTGCAAAAATGACAACCATTCATCTGATTTTAACACTTGAACTGCATTATCAAGAACTCCTTGAATTGCAGCGTTTTTCAAGTCATCGTCTTGATGCTGAGAGGCAACAATTAAAACATTTAATGAAATCTCAGTATTTAAATTTGAACACAAATAATTCGAACACTGCTTCCTTAAACTTGGAACAGCATACTTATCCGAAGCTATAAACAAAGATAGAGCATCTTGAACTGTTAGTGGTCCTGTTTTTCCAGTATATAAGAAACACAACAACTGTTGTATAGCATTCGAAGGTATATCAACAATATCTATTATGTTTTCTTCTTTTTCCTTAGTATCATGTTCGAACATAGCTGCAAAAATTGGTGAACGAGCTGATAAGATTGCTCTGTGAGCAGGAAAATCATTTCCTTTCACAGCGAGTGTAACATCACTATGTAATCCTTTCTCCAATAGATTTGAAAAATCGTCAATTAAATCTTTAGTGGATAAGGAATCGGTGAAGCTGACGATTTTTGGAGTTTCCTTATCAACTTCACTGTCCTGAATAACTTCGTTGACGTCTAAAGCACAATAAATAACTATGAATCCCGATCGAAGAAAAGTACTGTGGTATTTATCGTAACAACTACGATCAAAAACTGCTTGAACCTTATCGCAATCTTCCATAATCCTCTCACAAGTATTGTGCAAACGATCTCGGAGATCAAGCAACGCTAAGGACACTTTTATTTTGATTTTGTCCTGCGTTTGATTTTCGGGACTTTGTGAGGGCAATCTGCACAGAAAAACACTGAACTGAGAACCTAAATTTTTAGATGCAGGTAACTGAAAATAAAACTTGTCACCTTTAGAAGGTCCGAATGTAAAAAAATCACTTCTTTTATCGTCTGCTGTTGAATTTTGAATTGCAGATGCGTGAATGCACCATTTGAAAACTTCTTTCTTGGTGAGAACACCGTACTTCATAAGACAGTCAACTTCATCGGCAGCAATTAAATCACTCATTTTTTTTCAGACACTGAAAACTTCTCAAAATGTTGATAATTTTAACCGAAACAAATTCACATATACTGCTCTGACGTCTTAACGATACAGAATTGTTCTAAGCGCACTTTTTTCAATTTCAATAACTTGAAGGACGAATGTTAAGTGCCACTGTTAGAATAATGAAAAACATCTCCAGTAAGAAAATCGAAATAAAAACAAATAAATAAAAAAAAATATGCAATGCCTTTTCAGAAGATAAAATATCGTTTTCTCTTCCAGAATCCCTTTCAAGTTATCGTGCTTCTCCTACTAATTAGATTCAAAGAGAATGTTGTTTTCGACCTCTATCAAAGCTATCTCACTCTTCCTCATTTTTCTTTTTTTTAATTCACTGTAATCTGAGCTAAGAGTAGTCTGCGAAAACTTGAGCGCGTGACATAAAATAAGTAGTGAGTCTCGTGACTGCATGAGGGTGTTATATAACAGTTTCATTTCCAAATTAATTTTACTT